CACTACAGGTTCCCCAGGTCCGAGAAGGTCGCTCAGGGTCAAAGGCCCTCCCAAATACCTTGCAGATTACGTAAGGTGAGCATGTTAATTGCAATAACTGAACTAGAGGTTCTGGCTGGTTGACTCGATGTAAACGATGTTGGGGCTATTGGGTCTCTGTACGACGGAACAGTCCCACATCTTACACACACCGTGTGACGTAACTCAACAGTTAATTATATAACCATCACTATGATGGCGTCCATGTGGGCGCCGTATTATTTCATCTAGGGGGAGGGGTGTTGTGTCCTGAGCCTGCAAAAGCAGGCTCGGGACGTTGCAAGAGTCCCGGGCATTTGCAAAAGCTGCCCGGGACCAGACTGAGTTGCGCCGGCCTTGCGCGCATGCGCAAGGCGGGAAAAGACTGCCTTGTGATTGGTTGGAATTGCCCGGGGATCAGAAGGTATAAATAGAGGCCTGCGTGCCTCTGCTCGGGTTGTTTGTAGATTGGAAGCAGAGAATAAAGACTTGTTAGAAATGCTTCGTCTCAAGCGCCATTATTCTCCGGACTTAACAGTACCCTTCTAGGCTTGACCCTGATGGGCGTGATAGTTGGGTCTAACCGTAGTGCAATGGGGGGCCCCTTGTAGGATCCTAGCTCTGAACTAAACACATATGCAAACTCCTTGCAGACTTCTGCAAGGCCCAACGTTTGCAAGTTGTGCAGCCCAGTTACCTGGATTCCTAGAGCCTCGAACCAATCGAGTCCAATAAGACTTGTACGTTCACCCCCAACTACCACATCTAGGAAACCTTCAAAATCCTTATGCTGTACCTTAAGGGTGGCCTCCCCCTTAACACACACCATAGAATTTTGAAAATCAGTGAGTATTAGATTCGATGGCCTGAGTTTAACTCGAAGGCCACTACTGCTGCAAATCCTTTTGAAGGTGTTAATTGAAATAATGGAGAGAGCGGACCCTGTGTCCAACTCCATCAGTAAGGGAACCCCTTGCAACCTCACGTTAATGGAAAGTTTCTTCTTAAGGGGCTTGTGTGTCCCTGTCCTGAGAATACTCCTGCACGATGCGCAGAAATCCTCCCTGTGTTGGCTGGGGACCCTGGTACCTTTCTGAAGCAATTCTTCCCGAGGTTGGACCTTCTGGCAACCCAAGCAGATGGATGCGATGTGGCCTTGCCTGCCACATGCCCTGCAAATGGCGGAGCGGAACCTGCAGTCAGCTCGCTTGTGGCGTCCTCCACACCTGAAGCATTGAAGAGATGCTGGGGCCTTGTCCGGACGTCCCTTCTGCCTCCTCTCAGCTGGCTGGCTGGTGAAGTCTGTCCACCTCCTCTTCAGGATCCGCTTCCGATCCTTCTCGAGCGTCCTCTTGAGGGACGGTAGCTGTGTCCGGAGGGTTCCTGGCGAGCCACAAGGCCTTCACAGCCCCGCCTGCTGCTTCCTCAGCTGCCACCTCTCGTAACGCGTCTTGGAAGGAAACATCTTCTTTTGCAAAAATCTTCTGTTGTAAGTCTCTGCTTCTTAAACCACATACGAAGCGATCTCGCAGCCTCTCTTCCAGTTCCTTGAACTCACAAGGCCTGGCCGCTTGTCTTAAGGCAGCAATAAAGTCCGCAGCAGATTCACCCGGCCTCTGGTCTCTCTGCTCGAACGCGTGCCTCCAAGCAATGACGAATAACTTCGGCTGGAAGTGTTCCTTCAACATCTTCTTCAAGTCAGCGTATGCTACTGACTCCAGAAGTGCAGGGGCCACCAGTTTCTCTGCGATGTCAAAAGCTTCTTGTCCACAGGCACATAGAAGAGTTGCTGCCTTCAGGCCGTCTTCTCTTATCTGATTTACTCTAAAGTAGTTCTCCACCCGTGCTACGTAGGAATTTCATCTCTCTGGGTGGGAGACATCAAAATCAGTCAAGTGGCCAATCTTCGACATCGTAAACTTTACGACCTTCACTAATTGCCTCCTCTGCAAGCTGATGTTTGGGAAAGGGTCCTTTTGCCGAGCTCACCTCCAGCGACGCTGTACTGGCAGGCTGAGTCGCGAATGCAGACGCAGTCTTCCCAATCGTCAGGACTTCCTGGGTGAGTCCTTAATTCTTTTTATTGCTTGCAGGGATCCCACCTTCGTCGCCAGTGTTGTGTTTTCGGTTCGTTGGCAATTGATGAAGACACATGGTGAAACAACAAGCTCTTTATTTCTCTCTCCTACAACCAAGCAAGCAGTAAAAGGCACGCAGGCCTTTTATAGGGCCAGAAACCCAGACAGTGTGAACCAATAGGAATTGAGCATTTTCGCAACTTGCGCATGTGCGCAAGGCTGGTGCCACCCTGTCTGGTCCCGGGCAGCTTTTGGAATGCCTGGGACCATTTGCAACCTTCTGAGCCTGCTTTCAGCTCTTGCAGGCTCAGGACACAACAGATCATGTCCTGCTTCTCTGGGGCTGTGGCTGAAGGCATGTTGCTTATGAATAGATGACTCAGTCTTTCTGAATACAGTTATCAAATTTGCATTTCTACAGAGCTGGCCTCTGCCTGGGGGAAAGAGGCTGGGGGCTGGTTTCTGCCTAAGATTTTTCTATTATTCCTTTGGGGAAATATAATATTCTGTCTTTTTTAATATCCCCCAAAATATTTCCTTTTCTAGGAGGGTGGGTGCTGACTTCCAACAGTTACAACATAGTTCCAATCTACCTGGCACTTTCGTTAAGTCAGTTTAGAATGAGGGCAGGATGTATAATATGGATAATGTGAGCTTTGAATAAGAATAAAGATATCTTGGATTCTTCAAAAATGTCTCGATAATTTTCCTGGATCCCAGACAAGATTACTAGATTTGGAAACTTGGTCACTTTCTTCTTCTCTCTTGGTGTCCCCCCCCCCCCACCTCCAGGGAGATCTGAAACGTTACTTGCGAGCTCAATGCAAAGCAGATGGAATGACTCCCGATTTACTGACACGCGACCTCAGCACATTGCAGCGCATGGCGTATGAAATCACGCTGGGAGTGTTACACTTGCATAAAAACAATTACATTCACAGGTAGGGATGACGGCTGGAAAGCTGAACTTTTGAAGCTTCGGGAAAGAAAGTGTGAACCAGGATGCGAAAGAAAGTGAGGAGAATGTGAGATTTAGAATTTCAGATTCTCCCTGATCTAAGTTACTGCGATGGCTTAAAATGGAGGTCGAAAACTTTTGGAGACTTCCAAGGGCAAGAGCACTTGATGATGGCCTGATCTGGGTAAAGGATGAATAAAGATGTGAACTTTCCTATAGGTAGAAACCTGCTGGGCCATTATCAAGTTATGTCACTATGGCTTTGTCTAAAACAGGGGTACAGCTGGCTCAGGAATTCTGGGAGTTGAAGTCCATGAGTCATAAAAGAGCCAAAGTTGCCTACCCTTGGTCTAAAAAATGTAACGGAAAAGGGGTGGTGTAGTGGTAGGGGTTAGGATAATTAAAACATTGATCAATTTTTTAAAATCAGAAATCAGGATCAAAAAATGAGAAGCCAAATATTATAACAAAAGTGTTCAGTAGTTTAAACATCAATATTTGTTTGCTTGTATATGGCCACTGCTCCCTAAGTACAAAGAATATGGTGAGGCTCCTGCCTGGGGGAAAACCTTCTTGTGATGTAAAATATATCACAGATATCATTAAAAAAAATACTATGGAATTTCCTATACAGAATTCCAGCTGAAAAAAAAATCATGTGTAGTGAGGTCTGTATGTGAGTATTCATCATTAAGCAGAAAGCTTGCTTGGATAGCCACTAATTGCTAAACTGGATTCTGAATGTTTTTTACCATAGTCTGCTATGCTATGGCCCTCTTCCTCCTCTTCTTCCTCCTCCTCCTCCTTTGGCAATTCTAAAATATGCGGGCTTCAACTCCCAGAATGAAGTCCACAGCTCTTAGAATTGCCAGGATAGAGAAACACTGTTCTAATCACCTATACAAATCAGGATTTTTAGTATATTGCTCAAATCCAATATTCTGCTTTGTTCATTTTGCAAGCCAGAATTTTTATACCAAAAACAGGTTTTCATTTACAGTCCTGTCTGTAAAGAATGCATCAAGCAAAGAAGCGGGGTTTGTGTGATCACTTAAACAAAACATCCCTACTTTATTTTGTCCAGGGCTTGGGAATCTGAAGCCTTCCGGTATTATTGAGAAAAATAGTCCCAACATCCCTCACCACTGATTATGATGGCTGAGTTAACTGGGAAGTCTATTTTAACAATATAAGGAAGGCCAAGATTCTGATTAGAGAGCCAGTTTGGTTAGTGGTTAAGACATCAGGCTAGGAAGCAGGAGAGTGTGAGTTCTAGTTCTGCCTTGGGCATAAGGCTAGCTGGGTGACTTTGGGCCTGTCACTCTCTCTCAGCCCTAGGAAATAGGCAATGGCAAACCACTACTGAAATCCTGTCAAAAAAACCTGCAGGGACTAGTCCAGGAGTCAGTACTGACATAAAGGCACCAAAATAAATAAATAAATTCTAGTCAATCAGCCAAAATCCTAGGAAGAGTTAAGAAAATAAACAGATCACATAGTACGATTCTGCAGAATCCTGCCTTACCATTCAAGGGAATCCCAACCTTTTTAATCCTCGTAAATTAATGTGAGGATAAAAAGGTGCCCTCTGAATTTTTGAAGGCAGCATGGGTTACCCTCCCCCCCCAAAACCTCCCCCATAACAAAAAACAACTTTTATCCTCACTATGTATAATATAATATAAGAAAGGGTGAAAAATGAGAGTCTCTCTTCTCACCTGACTCAAAATCCTCTTGTCCTCCACAGTGACCTGGCACTTCGGAACTGCTTGCTGACCTCAGATCTCACCGTGAGGGTTGGGGATTATGGCCTGTCTCACAACAACTACAAGGTATGGGGTGAAAGTACCACAAAGAATCTAAGATGGGTCTTCCAGGAGTCTTAGGCAATGGATAGATGTGGCAATATATTCTTTGCAGAACATTTCCAATCCATTATGAAATTAAACTTCCCGTTCTTTTTTAAAGGAAATTATGAGCCATTTAATTTAGAGCAAACTACTATATAATATTGCATGGGCCTTAGAGGGAACTCTGTAATGGACGAGAAGCAGAGCATCCAGGACCTATGAGATGTTGGGATGTTGAGTTGTCTATTCTCATTTCTGTTTCATAGGAAGATTATTACATCACTCCGAACCGGCTTTGGATCCCTTTGCGTTGGGTTGCCCCAGAGCTGTTTGATGAGATGCATGGAAATGTCATTGTTATAGATCAAACCAAGGAGAGCAATGTTTGGTGAGTCCCAGGATAACTCTTGGACTGAGGAAATTCAATTTGTATTCTCAAGCAGGGATACACAATCCAGCTGGGCTAAAGCTGAAATAAACATTTCCAGGTCTACAAGGAAATGGTCCTCAGCATTTGCAAGCATTCATCCAGTGCAGGCATCCTCAGTAAGACACAACGATGCCACAATGATAACCCATGCGCATTGATGTCAACTTGGTAGATTCAATATTCATACAAATAAAAGGAATAGATGAATGATAATGCAAATGATGAATAGGTAAACCTTGACATACTTCATTTAGCAACCGTTCAAAGTTGCAATGGCACTGAAAAAAGTGACTTACAACCAATCTCACACTTAAGACTATTGCAGGAGCCCCACAGTTAAGTGATCAAGATTCGGGCACTTGGCAACTGGGATGTATTTACGACAGTTGAAGTGTCCCCGGGTCATGTGATCTCCATTTGTGACCTTCCCAGCTGACTTCTGACTAGCAAAGTCAATTGGGGGGGGGGGGAAGCTTGACGATCACATGATTTAACAACTGCAGTGATTCTCTTAACAGCTGTGGCAACAAAAAAAAGGTTGTAAAATGGGCACAGCTCACTTATCCACTGCCTTGCTTAGTAATGGAAATTCTGATCCCAACTGTGGCTGTAAGTTGAGGACTATCTGTATACAATGCAAAAATATAAGTGATAGCATTTGTATTATTATACAGGTTTTATCATTTATCACTTGCCCCCCCTTGCGGAAATCCATGCATTGAACTAGTTATTTTGAGCCACCCCTCACAATCCTCTTAATGATGAACGTTTTTTTATTTAAGCAAGTGATTTTTCACCTTCCCCTTTCTTTCCTATTTTGTCATAAACAAACAAACAAACAAACAAACAAACAAACAAACAAACAAACAAAACAGAGTTTAGCAAGAAAAACCTTGTAAGTGGTTTGACTGCCATGTTCCTTTACTTTAAAGAAGACCCCTCCCATGTTGCTGGCCAAATGGACATGTTTGAAATTATATTATGGCTGCTCCTCAGAAATGGCTGGGGGAGAGCAGTTGCCTATTTACCAGATGGCTGATTTACCCTGCCAATCTTCTCAGTCTCAACCCCCAAGCTCTGGATTGCCCATAATCACAACGGTCCCTTTTCTGGGGAGATGGCATTTGTCCAAAACAAAGGACTGTGTAGTGTTGCTAATCAAGATTATGGGGCGCAATGGGAGTCCAGAGAGAGTCCTGGAAATGAAGATGATGTTAGAGGCTGGTGCTTTGCTTTGCAACTTGCCAATTTTCTATTTTTTAATTAAAGCTGTTATTTTAATGTAACCACCCTGGAGAGGAATCTTGCCAAAAGAGGTTTGTGGACACACTGATGCCCTGAGGTACCAGCTATAAAGCCTGGTGCACATGAGATTTATTTTAGGTTGCTGTCCTTTACCAGACACCAGAAAAATATGCTGTTGTCAATTATGCTACTCCCACGGCTTAAATGAGCCTCAGCAACAAGGCTGGGGGGTAATGTTATTCTTATAAATATAGAGCAGAAGAGTTTCAAGGCAGTGATGGGTAGATTCCCCTCCCTCCTCACCTGGCAGTGCGAAAATCAGCCACCAACTGAGTTCATAATGTGTGGCTGGAAGAGGATGGGACTTTGGAAATATCTGGTAATGGTGGCTTAGCTGGAAAGTTAATTTTCCACAAGGATGTTAGATATTCCTAATATATACACGAATACACTCCACACTCATATTTATAGCCTGAACCAGTACAGGTAATCCTTGACCTACAACTGACCATATGAAATTACAATGGCACTGAAAAAAAGTGACTTACAACTGGTCCTCGCACTTACAACCATTGTAATGTCCCCATGATCACATCAGAAATTGGGCACTTGGCAACCAGCATGTATTTACAATGGTTGCAGTATCCCAGGGTCATGGGATCACCATTTGTGACCTTCCCAGAAGGCTTCAACAAGCAATGAGGCAAGCTGGATTTGTTTAATGACCATGTGATTAATTTAACAATTAAGGTGGTTCACTTAATGACTACAGCAAAAAAGCTAGTAACATCGGGTGTGACTCACACACCGTACCTGTAAATACTGCATGATGAATGCAGTGCGGGCACCAGCTGGCATGAGCCACAGCACCCGAAAATGTTCCACATACTACACAAAATAGCTGCCTCTTCCTAATTAATCAAAGCAGTGAAATGTGTGGTCACACAAAAATACTTGACCACAAAAGAAATTGAATATCTGTCTTGCTTTCCTTTCAGACCTAAACTGCTGGCAGGATTTGATTCTTTTCCCCAGATTAAATTGATTGGATTGTTCCTGTACTTTTCTAAGAGAGAGCTACAGCTTTTTTCCAAGATTGTTAAACATGTATTTGAAAAAGAGGTGCACTGCTCTCCCTGAATATTAGTAGTCTGTGGAAATGAGACTCTCAGCATTTCCCAAACCATATGAGGCATTCAAGATCGATCTCTCTCTCCCCTCCTATCATCTCTCTCTCTCTCTTTTTTTTCTCTCTCTCTCCCTCTCTCCCTCTCTCTCCCCTCTGTTTCTCTCATCACCATCATCTCTCTCTCCCTCTCTCTCTCCCTCTCTCTCCCCTCTCTGTTTCTCTCTCTCATCTCTCTCTCTCTCATCTATCTATCTATCTATCTATCTATCTATCTATCTATCTATCTATCTATCTATCTATCTATCTATCTATCTATCTATCTATCATCTATCTATCTATCTATCTATCTATCTATCTATCTATCTATCTATCTATCTATCTATCTATCTATCATCCATCTATCTCTCTTACTCTCTCTATATCTTTCTCTCTCTCTATCATGTCTCTCTCTCTCTCTCATGTCTATCATCATCCTCTCTCTCTCCCCCTCTCTCTGTGTGTGTGTCCCTCTCTCTCTCTCTCTCTCTCTCTCTCTCTCTCTCTCTCTCTCTCTCTCTCTCTCTCTCTATCTATCTATCTATCTATCTATCTATCTATCCAGTGCTTTTTTTCTAAAAAAAAAAAAAGGTGCCGGAACTCACACACGTCATACAACCCGCCTTGCCTACCCTATAAGGTTCCATCCAAAAAAGGTGCCGGAACTTGGGCGTTCTATGAGAAAAAAAAGCCATCTATCTATCTATCTATCTATCTATCTATCTATCTATCTATCTATCTATCTATCTATCTATCTATCTATCTATCTATCTATCTATCTATCTATCATCTATCTATCTATCTATCTATCTATCTATCTATCTAGCTAGCTAGCTAGCTAGCTAGCTAGCTAGCTAGCTAGCTAGCTATCATCTAGCTATCTCTCTTACTCTCTATATATCTTTCTGTCTCTCTATCATGTCTCTATCTCTCTCTATCATATGTCTATCATCATCCTCTCTCTCTCTCTCCCCCTCTCTGTGTGTGTCTGTCCCTCTCTCTATCATCATCCTCTCTCTCCCCCCCCTCTGTGTGTGTGTCTGTCCCTCTCTCTCTCTCTCTCTCTCCAATTTCCATAGCTTCCTTCTCAGTCAATGACTCTGGGCAACTTACAATTCAAAAAATGTGTATTACGATTAGGGCATGCCCACAACAGCCTCAAACAGCTGAGAGGAGCTGGGGTAATCCCAGCCCTTGTCTCATTATTGCTCGCATTATAATCGACACATTATCTTTTTTCCACACAGCATTGTTTGTTCACATAGCAAAGAGGATTTTTCCCTCCGTCTTGATCTCCCTGTGTTCTTCCCAGGTCAATGGGGGTGACCATCTGGGAACTGTTTGAATTCGGCTCCCAGCCTTACCGGCATCTTTCCGATGAGGAGGTGCTGACTTTTGTCATCAAGGAGCAGCAGATGAAACTGGCCAAACCTCGCCTTAAGCTTCCTTACTCAGACTATTGGTGAGTTCTTCCTTGTTAGGCCAACAAATCCATCACCCACCTACTGGGATGCCATCAGCCCAGGCTCCTTCCAGAGGCATCCAGTAGAAGCCACAATGACATCACAAGTGCTGTTACGTCATTGTGCAAATGATGTGTGTACAGATAGTCCTTGAGTTGCAACTGGTCATTAAGTGACTGTTTGAAGTTATGATGGACCTCACCAAAAGGTCCTTTGAATCCAGTTCCAAGTTCTATCAGCCAGGCCTTTCCCCAGGGTCATGTGTCCGCATTTTGGGCCCTCAGCAACCGGCCCGCATTTACAGCTGTTTGTGGTATCCCTTGATGACATGACAATGATTTACAATGTTTTTTTGCCAAAAACTGGTGTTTGCTTCTGGTTTTCAGCAAAAATGCTCCATAGAGAGCAATAGGTTAAATAAACCTATTGCTCTCTATGGAGCATTTTTGCTGAAAAAACACTAGCTTAACAACCACAGATTCACTTAATGACTGCCACAAGAAAAGGTTGTAAAAATGGTCAGTCACTTGGTGACCCAGTTTATAATTGTCATGATGTATGACTGTAATTGGCAGCATCCATTATGGTTGTCAGTCAAGGACTACCTGTCCCATAGGGGCTTTTTAAAAAGGCAACTGGACTTGTTTTCCTTGAAGACTTTTCGTTTCTCATCCAGAACTGAGAATTGAAGAAGCTTCTTGGATGAGAAGCGAAATGTCTTCAAGAAAAAACAAAGTCCAGTTTCCTTTTGGAAAAGCCCCTTTGGGAGAACCATGACCTGGATGACTAAGAATCTCCACAGAAATCAAGAGCTACCTGTATACACAATTTGCATTGTTTGTATCATGACAACTTGGCAGACATGGCTTCATTTGCCCCACTCCATCTTCCACCCTGCAGGTGTCCCGGTCCCCTTCATCTTTGACAGACATTTATTGAGGCTTCATGGACAGTTTATGGTCTGGGATATTATCCTTAAACTTTATGATGCTTGCCTTAGCATTCTTATTTCTCCTAATGTTCTTCCATTCTCCCCTCTCTGTATTCCTCTGACTCTTCCTCTATCCATCCATTTCTCTCTCTGCACTGTCAGTCTGGCCAGGCTTTCTTCAGCTATGACCTTTCTTTTCATTTTCCCCCCTTTTCCTGTTCTTCCTAGCTCACGTTAGCTAATTGGTTGTCTGCAGCTTTCTATTTTTGTCGGCAATTGTCTGAGCTGCTAATCTGGGCTGAGGATTTCCTTTCAGATGTTTTAAATATTTTTCTATTATTATTATTATTATCTCATCATAACATATGGTGCAATCCTATAAAAAAACCAGGAAAGGAAGAACGCAGTGAAACAATATAAAAAGAGGATTTTTTTAATAGGTGTTCTTTCTGTTGCAAATATTGTTTTTACCCAGAATCAAATAATATTTTTTTCGTGACACAGAGACCTATTTTCATACAGATGGCACGAGAACATGCAGTGCTCGTGAAGAACCCCCTAAGCAGAATCTGGTACTTAAATTTACAGGACTTATAGTGTTGACGGTAAGACAAAGACGCAGGCATGTCTTGAGCAGAGGTTTGAAGCTGCAGGACACAGCTTGACAAACTCTGTGAGTTTATTGCTTTTTATATACTTGTTACATATACCAGCTTAACCATTAGATGCTGACAAAGGTTTCTTCATTGGAAAATGTCTTCATGTAAGCAACTATTTCCTAGTAACACATTACATGATCAAAGACCAGGTAAAGAGCAAACAGGAGAAGGAACTAACAAAGGCAGGAAAAGATAGGAGAAGAAACTAAGCATATTATCTGTTTAGGTAGGTGAGGCATTAAGTCAAAAGGGTATGACCTTCTGGCTGCTTCACTGGGACAAAGAGTATCAAAAGGTTATGAGGTTTGGGGGGGAGGAAGCATGGCAGTTTGCTGCGCGTGCGTTTTTTCCCACATCTCACTCTTCTCTATTTTATTAGTGAGGACATTATACTAAGCTGGAGTAGTTAGTGGGTATTAATACTGTAAGACATTTTATTAAGTAGAGAAAAAAGACATTGAATAACCATATATGTGCATAATTAAAGGATACCTCTTGAAAGGAGGTACAATTTAAAATTCCTTGACTGACATGTATACAATGAGGTTTTTTAGGTGAAGTAGTACAATTGACAATTTTTGCACAAGTAAGATTTGTAGGAACAGCTACAATTGGTGTATGTAAAACAATAGCATCAAGGGGTAACATGTAAGAAGCAGGACCCCAGTTTGACAAAGTTGCATAATGAAATTCATTGTCTGATAGAAAATTGCTTAAACCAGTATAATTTTTTAAAACTGAAGCTGGAACACACACAGGTATAAGACAGGTAGAGAGCAGATTTTCCATATCATATGATTCAGAAAGACAAAAGTCTGTCACTTTTGTGACATTAGCTAATTGCACCCAAATATTATATTTTATCCGTGATTCTAAAGGATGAGGTGGGAGAGCTTGAGCCCCCACACAGCAATTAAGAAGGAAAGAGAGGCAAAGAATGACTAAGGAATTTGCAGTCAAAATCACAAATATGTCAGCGCATAAATTCTCTGGTGTAGGTTCTTTTCCCTGTTGCCGCAGAACCTCCTGTGCTTTGGATGTTAGGTTCTTCACATCGCCCCAGGTCGTTGACCGACTGCGATGGCGAGAGCGAAAGGGACGTTGTGCTGTCTGAAGAGTCACCTGCTTCATTTCCGGTATTGGGTTCTGGACTTGATGCCATGACATCTTTGGCTGGTCGCACACACCGGGCTGGAATCTAGAGAGGGCCTGTAGGAGCAAGCACAGCAGCATAGTCTCGCCCCCAAGTTAATAAGGAAATTGGACCTAACCAGGTTTTATCAGGCAATTGCCGATAATATACCAATGGATTAGGGAGCACAGTTTTCTGCTGAAAGTGATGCTGGTAGGCAGTAGTTTTTTAAAAAGAAATATTCAGCTGATTTAAAGTTATTAGGACTTTATTAACTTGACGAGTTATCCATGCCAAATTAGGTACCCTTGATCCCTCCTTTTTTTATTTGTTTGTAAAGGCAGTCCTTAAAGGACCGATGCGTATGTGAGAAACAAAGTATAAATGCTTTCGGCCTTGTAATAGTTGCTGTAAAGTTAAAAACAAAGCCATAAGATTGGGGTTGATCCTGGGCGTGATGTAAGCACCTGGAAGATTAAAAATAAGTTGGCACACATAATGAGAGTCAGAGATTAAGTTAAAAGTCTGTTGAGAAAAGGTGTGGAAAGCTAAAATAGCAGTAGATAATTCTGAGTGTTGTAGTGAGGATTGCACTGCAGTGTAGGCAGATGATATGAAATACAGCCTATATAGTCAGTTAAAGAGCACTGAAGAGATAAGTTATTCTGAAAATAAAATTGAAAATCAGATTTTGGGATAGGAAGAACAATATTAATTAAATCAGTCCCATTTCAACGACAAGCTCGATTGTGTCCTAAGGTTATTATTTCAGCAACAGCCTGGATAAAAGATAAAACATTTTGGGATGGGATAAGTAAAGTCATTCAATACAATATACTTTTTGCGCTTCTAACACAGCTAATACTCCTGTAAGTAGCTTACTAGTAACAAATATCAAAAGTGTTAAGTGACAATTTTTATGTGGAATTCTGTCCACAAATTGAGTACTCAAGATGTCATTAATTTGCTCAACCGTGGCAAGTGCTACAGGTGGAACTACAATGAGATCTCCAGGTTGTTTTCCTTTGGTCAATAAGTCAAATTCCAAGTTAATCAAATACCATTCAGATGGAAACAAATTTCCATTAAGTAGGTTAAACATTTAGAAATCTAAGCAAAACGATTCAGAGTCATTTCTTTTGGTTGATGGATATAGAGGTCTAACTAAACAATTTAAACTCAACAATTTCCCCCCCCAAAAAATTTGTCCAATAATTACTGTCTCCTCTTTCAAGTAAAATTTTGTAATCTGAAACTGCAAGAGTGGGCATTAAATTTCACCACCATTCTCAAACCGGAATTCTAAGCAGAGAAAAAAATGTTAAAATGAGCAGCCCCCTGGAATTCTAAGCAGAGAAAAAAATTGTTAAAACGATCAGCCCCCCCCCCTCTTCTTTCTGTCTCTCTCGCTCTTAAAGCAACACAGCCAGTGGAAAAACGAAAGAGACAGGAAAAAAAAAGAAAAAAGAAAAAGACATTTTACTAAATTCTCACCACTAAAAAATAGTTTTCTCTCCTTCACATGCATTTTCCATAAATTCTCTCACACATTCTCCATAGGACTCTTCTCATGCAAACACTATTGCTTTTCAATTTACTTTTACAACAATAAATTCTGAAGTTTACTATTTCTTTCACAGCCTGGGAGGGAGTGGGTGGAGGGTGGGGTTTGAGGGCTAACACACACACTTAGGTCTCAGCAAATTAACTCATTCACTTCCATTCTAACTGCTTGCATAAATAATTCCACATACAAATATTTCATTTCATACTTTCTACAGGCAAACCATTTATTTTTAAATAAGGCCTTTTTGTGTGATGTTATCACAGAGGGTTTTGACCCTCTTCCAAGTCTTGGAAATAACACAGAACAACACAGACAAACATATACACAAATACTATTAAAACAACATTTATTTAGACATATGGCTTGTCCTGCAAGAAGCGAGAAAAATCATGAGATGATTCCAACCAAACATGTGGTTTTTATAGGGCCCTTTAACCATCTCCTATTTTTCTCACCATTCGAAGCCCAAGCGTAATGTTCTGAGTGGCCACACACATACACATATACACACATATACATAAACAAAACACACACATCAATTTGGGGTTTGAAGTTAAAAAGGAGGGGAACATTTATGGTTACTTCCAATTTATCCCAGTAACTTCAAAAGACAGTGGGGAAAAACTAAAAGGAATATTGAAGGTGTGAAGGGGGAGGGGAAAGTATCAGCCTCCTCTCCTCACCTCTGACAAAGGGGAATTGAATAGAGC